TTATTTAACAGATCTATCATAAAAAATGTTCACAAACCAAAAGCCACTAACCATCATCACATTACTACTACTCGTTGTCTTGTTTGTGTTTGGAGAAGGAAAACTGTCTTTCGCTCAGGACAAAGTTCTTGTCCACTCCTTTGCCAACAAGACATCAATTTCTCCTTTTTATTTCATAAACGGAGCTGAATTTCCAGGTGCAACTGGTTCCATGTCCCTCATTTCTGATGGTTTCAATTCTGGTACTTCTGCTAGAATTTCATATAACTTGACAGCTGGCGCCTATGTTGCTGCAATTTACAATTTTCCAACTCCACTCAGTTTTACAAAACTTACCTTTGCTATTCGATATGCATGTGCACAAAATGTCAAAGTTTCTTTTAGATTGACGGATTCTACTGGACAAACTTTCCAAATGACTGGACTAAACATGCCATTCGAATCTTTGATGAAAGGTTGGTCAGAGGTTTACTTTCAACCAACAAATGCAACTGAATTTTGGGGAGGAGCCAATGATGGAATATTTCACATGCCATTCAAACAATTTTCCATCGTTTTGGGTCTTGTAGAAAAGATTTCCTCAACTGTCGGCTGTCTAGATTTTGACAATTTCTATGCCATGAATGAAACTCAACCAATTCAATTGAATTTAACTAATAGAGTGGCAGTACCATGGCCAGGTGACATGTTGTCCAAGATGGGAGTCTGTGTCCATTCAGCAAATACTGCAGAATTGGATGCAGCCAAAAATGCAGGTTTTTCCATGATTAGAATTGACTTGTTTTGGTCATGGGTTGAATCCAGTCGTGGAAAATACGTCTGGACAAGCTTTGATTCAATTGTTACCAATTTGAAAGCTAGAAATATGACAGCTCTCTTTATTCTGACCTATAACAATGATTTATATAAGGATTCGAATGGTGGTTTCAATGCCACGACCATTGAGGCATTTGCAAATTATTCCAGAGCTGCTGCAAAACATTTTGCAGGAACTGGAACGAAATTTGAAATTTACAATGAGGCCAATGGAAATGGGTTTACAGGAGCGACGTATGCTCCATTGGCTGCAGCTGCAATTAAGGCAGTTCATGAGGGAGATTCGAATGCTAAAGTTTCGACTAGTGGATTGTCTGGATTTGATTATAATTTCTTAATTAATGAGTTGTTGGGTGGTGCTGGACAGGAGGCAGATGCCATTGGATTGCATCCGTATGGAGTTGGATATAAATCAGGAGTTGGATCGATGGTTGACGGAGCTAGACTTTACAAGAGCTATGTCAGTAAATATTTACAATCAACCAGAAGTTCCATTCCACCTGTATGGGATACTGAGATGGGTTTAACCTCTACAGATTACGATCCAACTGGAAGCACCAATGGACACAACTCTGTGGCCATGAGAATCCAAGCCAATCGTGCAGTTGAAAGATTACTTGCATCCATGGCCGTAGGTTTCGAAATGTTTCAATATTACGATCTGAGAAATGATGGAAATGATCCAACCAATCGTGAACACAACTTTGGCCTCCTCTTCAATAATTACACTGAAAAACCAGCTTTTAAATCAGTCAAGCAATTAAGCAAAATGGTTAGTGGAAAGATATTCGATTCATTTATTAGAACTGCACCTTCTCCGTTGACTGCCATGAGGTTTGTGAATGAGAATGAAACTCTTGTGATTGTTTTTGCACAAGTTCAGGATATTAAGGCAAAGATTGTGTTGGTTCAAACTCCAAAATTGATTCTTGATGTTTTTGGAAATCAATTGACAGCTAGTCAAAATTCATTGACAGTTACCGATAAGGATGGAGCAATTTATTTGTTGTATGACAATGAGAAGGTAACTCCTAGTAGTAGTTCAGTTTCTCCAAAGGCAACTTCTTCATCAAGTTTGAAACCAGGAGCTTCGAATAGAGCTATTGGAAAGTCAACAATAACTTCAGATTCAGGAGTTTCTAATAGATTTTATACATGTTTGATCGCCTGTTTGGCAATCTTGATGATCATGTTGCAATAACTATAAGAAATAGACTATTGTAGAAGTGTTGACATGTCATGACAGAAGAAAGTAATAAAAAAATTACAGTAAATGGGGTCTAAGGTTTCGTCAGTAAGTTTTAATGAAGAATAGTTTTGTTTAGTATGAAAAAGCAAGCATCTGTCATTTCCGAAACATATGGAATTGAAAAGGATCAAGTTATTGAACTATTCAAAACTATTGTAAGTGCGGTGAGAAACTATTAGAAACATTAATTTTTATTAGAGTAGAAGATATCCGTATGGATCAGTTCCGAGAGAAAGTTTAACCCACATTTTGAATTTGAGAAATCCAACAGGTCCAATGATAGATTCGCTATTCTAGTAAGTTTAGAATTGATGGAAATTGTTTATTCGAAATTGATGTACATCAATAGTTTATTCGATATTGATAATGACGGGGTCATTTCTATTGCGGAATATATTGCAGTGATGATTATGTGCCAGAGGGCAACACCAGAAGAAAAAGTTTTATTGTGAGTTTAATTCTTTCCATATTTGTATATTTAATATAATATTATTTTTTTATATTTTTTTAAATATTAAAAGCGCTTTTGAAATTTATGATACAGATAGAGTAAGTTTCAATCTTCATTTTAATTTTCCAACAAGAAATTCTAAACTTTCCATATATAGACAGGTAAAATTACCAAAGACGAAGTTGAACGAATGATTTGGCAATTATTCAAAAGTTTCCCAGCCGAATTTGAGAAAAGTGGTCTCTCAGTCGACCAATTCATTTCTGAATTCTTTCAAAAACTCGACACTGACCACGACAACTCAATTTCTCGAGAGGAATTTCTGAAAGTTGTTTTGGGTGATGATTTAGTTTCAAAAGCTCTACAAAATACAATCAATGCTACAATGTAAGATATCTTTAAGAAGTGAAATAAGGAAAATGATTTATTGAAATTATTGTGAAATAAAAAAGTCAGTTGTCTGGACTGTACTTTGGTACTTTGTCATGGGATAACGTCACGCTCATTTCAATTTCAATGAATATTTCACTTATAGATGGTGTAATAGTTTATACTCCATCACCACTACATTAATAGCAGTGATAGAGATTATCCTCAACATCCATCTTTTTCAGCACTGTTTCCTGATCTCTTGGTTATTGAGAGAAGGGTCATTTCCTCAGCTGCTGTAGGGTGAATTCCAATTGTATTATCAAAGTGTTCTTTTGTTGCTCCAGCTCTGTGTAAATTGTGTTAGTTTTAATTTCACAACCCAATTTCTAGAATACTTACTTGATGGCAACAGCAATTCCTTGAGTTATTTCGCCAGCATTAGCTCCAACATAGTGGAATCCAATAACCTTTTCATTGGCTGATTTTAGAGTAATGATTTTCATGAAAGTCTTGTTGGTATCTCTGTGAGATAATTGATGTTCTATTGGAGAATAAAGTGAAATGTACACTTCAATATCATCTTCGCCATATCTTTGGACAGCTTCCTCTTCAGAAAGTCCACAACATCCATATTCATAAGGGTGAGTGAATATCGACGTTGGAACATTGTCGTAATCCATTAATTCGGTACCCTTGTTGGTCAATCGACTGGCTAATAATTTACCAGCCCTAATTGCAACAGGTGTGAGTTCAGTTTTTTTCTATTTTTCCAATTAATTATAATTCAAGTATTCCATAAACCTACATTAATACAATCTCCAATGGCATAGATATGCTTCTTTGATGTTTGTTCATTGTCAGAGACGATAATTTTTCCACTTTCGTCCATATCCAAATCAATATTCAACTCCTTAGTGACAGCTCTCCTTCCAACTGCAAACATGATGGTTTTGTAATTTTCAGTATAAACTTGTTGAGTGGAAAGATCCTTATAATGAACTGTATATTCGCCTGTTGTTTCGTGGTCTGAAGATTTTTCAATTTTCACTGGAATGCACTGTTCCAAGAATTTTACACCTCTTTCTTTCATTCCATCCACAACTTTCCAGGCACACTCCTGGTCGAATCCTCTCAATGGAATGGAACGCATCATGACACTACTCTCATATCCTAATCCTTTGAGGAAACTTGCAGTTTCTAGGGCAATGTATGAAGCTCCAATCACGAGAGTTTTTCCAGGTTCTTCCTTCAATGAAAATATATCATCTGAAGTGATTGCATACTCTGTAGCGCCTGGAACGTCTTGTGGAATATTTGGTGTTCCACCAACACTCAAAATAATCACCTTTCCACTAATAGTTTTTGTAATTCCCTTCCTAGGATCAGTCAATTCCAACGTATGATCATCCACAAATCTTCCCTTCATATTCAAATAATATAATTTCTTTAAAGATGGATCTTCATTATCAAATGCATAGGTTTGAGTCACACTGGTTCTATATCCAAAATTCAATGACTTGATATATTGCTGTACATTTGCAACAAGTGTTTTCCAATCATGTTTTCCACTCAATTTTCCTTCCTGCTTTCCATCATTCCATCCAAAATATTCAGCATCATGATTAATTCCCTCTCCAATCAATGCCGAATTATGCATCAATTTCTTTGGAATACATCCAACATTAACACATGTTCCACCTAATTGCCACATCCATCCATTCAACTTTCCATTTCTTTCTCTCAACCATTGAGAAGAAGGATCCCGATAATCTAATAAACAAATTCTAGTTTCCTTCGATGATAAACTTGATAATTGCTTGGAGAGAGAAAGCCCGCCAGAACCTCCTCCAATCACAATGTAATCAAAATGGGCGGGAATTTCTTGTTTGTTGGTTGCGCCTCCTAAATTCATACCAAAATTACGATGTAACAAATTGCTTTGCTTCTTCGGAAGAGTTTGCGATTTGCCAATGAAAATTTGCGAGAGCTTCCGCCCAGTTTGATGTCGAAGCATTTTTTTTCTGATTGAAAAATTGCTTAATAATTTACTTCATTCTGATTGGTTTATTTACATTGTAAAGTATATTTAAAATTACTTTTTGATAACTGTTTTTTGAGAGGAACTCTTTTTTGGAATATTTGGTCCTCCTTTCACTTCTTCCATATGCTTTTGAACAATTTTCTTCAATTGTTTTAAGGTACTTTGAGATGGAACAATACCCTTCTTATTGACAGGAGTTGAACTGCTGGAAGTTTTGGTTGGTGGAGGAGGTGCTGATTGACCAGTGGTTGGTAACTTGTTCAACTTGTTAAGCATTCTCATCCTGTAAGAAAGTAACATTCTATCAATTTGTTTCAAATTATTCACACGATTGGAATCTTGAATCATTTGAATTCTTTCTCTTCCCTGACGACTGACCAATGCCTTCTTTGTGGTCCATTCCTTCTTGTTAATGGTTGCAAGACGAAATTTTTCCCTCTTACAGATGAGACTTGGTCTAGCATTAGAATAGTGATGTGTTGGAATTGTCTGGACGGCCCAATCCTTGTTGAAGATTCCCTTTTGTCTATTATCTCTAAATTTCAAGCTGGAGGAGAGATTTGGACGATGTGTAACTGTTCTACGATTGAGTGATTTGCGAGCAACTTTAAATCTTGCTAAATGAACTCGTTTAGTGACTGATTGTGGTCTGATCATTTTCTTTTTAGTTTCGAATGTTTGTTAGTGGTGGTGTTGAAGTAGAAAAAGTGAAATGGTTTTGTGCTAAACGAGTGTGGTAGTTGATTGCTGCTATTATGAATAACAAATTTGGAAATGTTATTTATTTGAACATTTTCCAATTTATACATTTTCTACAACTGTTATTTCCTTCTTTTCGTGGAACTCTTTTGGTACATTAAACAATGAAATTACAGTTTCCAAATTTTTGCAATAGTCCAAAATTTTCTCTGAACCTGCCATGGAACTATCCAAATAAGATAATTGAGAAAAATGTAAGAATTTCAAGTTTGGGAAATAATTAAATGCTGAATAATCAATGAATGACATGCCTCCTGATGTAATTGTTAAATGGGTAAGATTTGGAAGAGCACTGGTATTCACACATCCAGAGAGTTGGCCAATATAACTTGTACAGTGAATTGGAATGTAGGTGCCAAACTTTTTCTTGTAGGATGATCTGTATTGGAGTTCAATTCTTGTCAGTAGGGGCCTTTTATCACATCCCTTTAAAAATTTGGTGCCGTTTTGTGGCTTTAAGCTGCTAATGTTGCACAATGACAATGATTTCATATTTGGATAATTGGTAGGGTCAGAAAGGGAATCAAAATACTCAGTATCATAGCTGGTGTCTTGAATTCTCAGAGATTCCAAACTAGTACTATCCTTGAAAATAGAGTTCAGTAGATTTACAACATCCACAGAGCAATTAATAATTTCTAATGTCTTGTAGTTATGTACATTTTGTCTATAAATATTCATCTTGGCTGCTGATATTGTTTGATTACTTTTCCAATTTGTTATTGTCAATCGTTGAATTTCAGTCTTAGTATTGAACAATTCAAAATAGCTGACAGATATGGTAAGAGTCTTGATTTGCTTTGTCAATAGAGTTCTAAAACTATCTCCTTGATTAATTGAGGAGAGAGAGTTGACATAGGCTTTGTCAATAAGTGGACATTCCAAATCTACAATATTTTTCACCCTGTCTAGTATTGTTCCATCTGCCACAAAGTTTGGTCCTTGTATACTCAACATTTGAATATCACGTTCCAATGTAAAGTTTGTCAACTGGTTGCTCTTAATGTAGACTGAATCAGATCCTCCTTTCAATCCAGGTCCTAATCTCAAGTCATACAAGTTTGGACACTTGATAGTAATAGAATTATAGGTTAAAAGACAGATATTTTCCAGAGTTGAGGACTCAATTGTAACTTGCTTGTTGTGGTTTGAGGAATTGTTATAAACTAGGAGAGTTTTCAAATTGGGTAATCTTATAAGATTGATATGGGAAAGAACTTGTTCAGTAGTGTGTAATTCTTCAATATTTACAAGGAGAGGGAAAATTTTGGCATTCTTTTCTGTAATCTTTCCAATTTTTAATTTACGAATAGTTGACGGGAATTGAATAAGGTCTGACTCGTTTAGTGTTTCCATTTCTAATTCAATCAAATTCTTGAATCTATTAAGTTCAGAAACAATGGTACAACCCTTCCTATATGATGCTGAATCCACTAACTTTAAAGATTTGATATTTTCCAAATTGGCAACCACTGGTAGCATTTCATCAAAGAAAACCGAGTAGGTAACACAAAGTTTTGTCACTATTTTGGGTCAGCACATTTCTTTCAAATAAGAACTTACACTTTTTAGATTTGAAACAATATGTCATGTCTTCAGTTTCTTTCATTCTCAATAGGAGAGATAGATCCAATCTCTTTAGATTTTCAAATTCGGGCAATTTAGATTCATCAACTTTCAAAATGACCAACTCCTCAATGCTTGCAGGATCTTCAAATTCAACATGCTTGTCGAAAAGTTTTGCAATATTAGTACCAGTCGGAATGGTTTTCTTGCTTGAAGATCTAATGTCGAGGAATCCCCAAAGTGAGATGAACTCTGGTTCAAATATTGACTTGTTGATTTTAGGGAAAACCTGTGCAATGTCAGAGTCATTGGTTTCAATACTTGAATCATCCCAAGCAACTCTATATTTGGCATCTCTGTATTTGGCATTTGGAAAGACAACACCACTCGAGGCAAACCATTTAATTAGCCTTTGAGGAATGTCCCAAACTGTATAAATATTTTCCAATCTCCAAGAAATGTACTTCTTATAAATTTCCACAAAATGCAATACTGAGTAGTCTGCATCAAAATCCAAATTAAAACAGCTCAGAGCACATGGATGCGAGCTAGCAGTGTGCCATGTTTTGCAAACTTGAGAAGCTTTAAGAAAATCAGAAAAGTCTAAAAAGGAGAAAACAGTAGACCAAATCTCTGGCAATTGAACAGTGTTCAATAATCCATACTCACTCATATCATGATTCTTTCCACGGAATAGTAATAACTCTGCTGATTTGCACAGATCACCCAATTTTGCAACCTTGTTTTGCAAATGTTTCAAGATTGTTATAATGCCTTGACGTTCTGCTGATGGAAGGCTTGGATAATTTAATTCCACAGAATCAAGAAAAGCAATTGATTCCTTTACGTGATTAACAGCTTGCATCGTAAATTCATTATCAAATTTGATTGAATCCAAGGATACTTCAACCTCCTCTTCTTTTACATCCATCATATCATACTGTTCTGTATTTTCATCAAGTGGTGTTGATTTATCATTGGCCTCCTCCTCTTCATCAGTTTTATCCTTCTTCTTTGATTTCTTTTTCTTTGGTTCTTCAGCTTCTTCCTCCTCAACATTTGATGACGATGATGCAGAAGACTTCTTATTCTTCTTCTTTGGCTTTTCCGAATCATCATTCTTTTTCTTTCTCTTCCTCTTGGTCTTTTCCTTATAATCAGAATCATCCTCCACTTCAATCACCACTCTATCATCCTCCTCTACTTCTTCCTCTTGCTTACGTTCCTCCTCCTCGTGATCATCAGATGAATCTGCTTTTGTCTTGGCCTTTTTACGTCTTGCTGTTCGTGGTGGCATTTTTTTTAAAATAAAATCACAAGAACCATAACAATCGAAATGTAAAACGAAAAGCAGCGTTCTCAAGCATCACGTTTTACATGAATTCCTAATTAATGATGATAAAATTCTCACCACACAACCTGAAGCTATGTGAAGCAAAAACCAACAAGGCAAAGCTGGCTGATCGATTCAAAGAATCTAGTGAAGATTGACTTTTGGTGTTGACGTGAATGGAGAATGACAGGGAATTTTGCTTGAACGTGATGTATAAATAATTTACAATGTGAAAAATCATTACAAATGATTGAATGATAAATTATTATTGATAGTAAATGTGATGGTTCCTCATAAAATTTTCCACATCTGAACAAACAAGATCTTGAATGGATTCTCCTTGTTTAGCTCTCTTTCGAACGAGTGTTGAACTACATTCCTCCTGCATAGTTGTTTCAATATGATAAATATCCTTCTCCCCTTTTCCTATATTACTCAATTGAGAATGTGATGGTCTCTGTAAAATTCCAACTCCAATTTGCAATTTTTTAGGGAATGACAATACATATCTACACTTGTTAATATGATCAGAACCACACAAGTAAATCAACTTGATTGGGGTTTGAGGAAATTCCTGCTTGATAAACTCATTCAAAGATATAGAGACTTCTGGGAAATCAACAAATCCATCACACTCAACTGATTCCCATGCATCAACACTCAAAAAAGGACTCACATCCAAATGTTCCTTCTCAGCTTGTTCAATAGAAATCTCACATAATTTCAATCGAGTTTCTGTCTCTATAAAATCCTCTTGTAATTTACTGGCAACATAACTCTTATGTGAAGGTGATATAAACGCTCCTACAACATGAATTCCATATTGTTCCTCGAGAGCCTTTTTACACAAGTAGAATGTCTCAATGTGCATCCTATGAACTGGACAATAACTCCCCGTACTCAATATAATGGCCATCTGTGTTTTATTCCAATCTCTACCATCATCATTTTGCTGTTGTTTTTTAAATTTTTGTATATTTTGTTTGACTTTATCGAGTGGAGTTGTCTTGTTATTCCTATCCGGATTCCTATGAAGAAACATGATCAAGTAAATTCAATTAATTTTTTTCTTGTTTGTTGTTACTGAGAACTCTCTTGAAGGATGAACCAATATTGTAATAGTAGATTGTTGCCACAAAATTCAGAAAAAAAAAAAGATACGTTGTCGCCGCCACATCATCGCATACAAACGATCAATTAATTGGTGCCAAAATTACATCATCACACCTTTTGTAAATTAAATAGTTTTTGTCGTCATCAAATTATTCATCATAAAATGCAACGTGTCTCTCCGAATATTAATCTTCATAATGAAATTTGGGATAACACTACAACAAAAGACATTCCACAAATATTGAAAAATACATCTCCATCACCAAAGTTTTGGAGAAGAGAGGATATTCTGGTTCCCAATACAAAAATTCAGGTAAAAAAGGAAATTGAGACAATTCATTTGTTGGAAGAGGAAGAATTTGATTCAACAGAAAGAGAGGAAGAGGAAGAGTATGAAACGGAGGAAATTGTGAATCATGATAGGTGTATCCTATTGAAAAATATTTTAAGTGAAGAAGAGTGCGAGAATTTGGTTTCAGTTACTGAAAAATTAGGGTATAATTCTATTGAACATGAATATGTGAAAGAGTATCGTAATAGTGAGAGAGTTGTAGTGACTAGTAAGAAGCTTGCCAATATCATTTGGGAAAGAATGATGTAAGTTATCAGATCAGCAATTTATTTTACAATTTCATCACACAACAGCCCACATTTGAAAAAGTCTGATTTCAATGGTGTAAAACCTTATGGTTTCGACAATAAGGGAAGATGGATTCCAATAGGGCTAAACAGCTGTCACAGATTTAACAAATATTCTGAGAAAACCTTCTTCAAACCCCACATGGATGCTCAACATTGTAATAATGATAATGAGAGAAGTATTTTCACTGTATTGATTTATCTCAATCACTCTCTATATGGAACTAGATTATTGAAAAAGGTTCCAAATCCCAACTCAAATGATGACCCCTCTGTTATGAGTTTCCAAGAGTTGCAATATGTACAACCAAGAATAGGTAATATTTTAATATTCAATCATGACCTCTATCACAGTGGAGATTCAGTTCGATATGGTAGCAAGTATATTATTAGAACAGAAATGATTTTCAAAAGAGTTGACTCTGAGAGTATTCACAGAATGGACTATAGAAACACTGAAGAATTTTTGAAAGTTAAACAACTTGTTGACGAATCCACAGAATTGGAAAAACAAGGAATGGTCAGAGAATCAACTTTGAAATATTTGAAAGCTCACCAGGCCCAAGTTGATTTATCACACTCTCTCAGATCGGATAATACTGAAAAACATTATAGCTTTATAGAACAAGAACTTCCAGAAGAAATATTTGCTCATATTTTCAAATACCTTCCTGTGACTGACGTTGTAAAGAGCGTGTTTTATTTGAACAGGGATATCAATGAGTATGCAAGAAATGCACAATTGTGGAAAGAATTATATCAACAAAAATGGCCTTCAAAGTTGACTGTTAATAACGTTGTTGCATATAAGTATAACTATAATTATTCCAAATCTGAAAATGTCCCACCAAACTATATAGATGTGGAGAGTGCTGAAAACCAAGCTATTGCAAATATTGAATCAGAGAGAACCAGTATTTTTGGTGAGACGCTCAAAGATTGGTATCAAACTTTTATTTGCAGAGCTAATATGGAACTTTCGTTTTGTCCTGTCTTGTTAGATATTGGTGCAAAGAATTACAGATTTGGATTGGCTAGAGATAGTGCCTTTTTCACATCTTGCTCATTAGTTGGGCAACCAGATCATCCTCACTTTTATTTACCTAACTATGGCATGGACGATATTGTGGTTGGTGATAGATACATCCTCACCATTCATCACTGCTCGTCTTTACCCCTCCTGGCAACAAATGGACAAATAGTAGATTTTAACAACTTGAAGATTCTTTTGTGCCAAGTTTATGGTGATGATTTAAACGTTAAATTGAGAGAACATCCACTCCTTCTTGCAGTATCTCCAATGTGGAGTCAAGATGATTTGAACCGAATTAGAAAGATTGTGGTAAGTTTGAAATATTCAATTCATTTATTACAAAAAAATTAATAATTCAGTTTGAGTTGGAAATTCCTGCACTATGCATGGTTGATTCGAGAGAACTTGTTTCAAATTACTACCAAAAACCAAATTCCATACTAGTTCATATTGGTGCCTCCGGAAATATGTGTACTGCAATTCAAAATCACAAGCCTCTTCAGGACACCTTTTCAAGTGAGACTTTAAATCTGAAACAAATTCTTTCTCAATTTACATCAAGAACTCAATCATACTATTACGAACAATATAACTCATGGGATCAGGAATTACATCAGGGCGCTATTGTTCCTCCAATCTTGCAGGATGAAGATGTTGCTGCTTATAGGAAATTTGTTTCTGAACTCGGAAGATGTAAACTTGGACAAGAATCAGCCTATAATCGTACCTATTTATCTGCAGAACAGAGAGTTTCAATTGGTGAGAGTATTTTACTGTCAACATTAAGTCAATTCACTAAATGCATCCAAACTGTAATCCACTCAACACAACTCACCGATTTAGAAAAGCAACAAATCTTACAAAATATTGTGATTGTTGGAGGATTTTCTCACGTGAAAAATCTTACTTCCAAGCTTACTGAACTCATTTCAAAAATCTACAATGACATTCCTTTCAAAATCACTCCAACCTTCACCTACCAATCCTTCCATGAAGTACAAAGTGTCAATAGAAAAGGAATTAAGTACAGCCATTTTGGGGCTTGTTATGATGTGATTGGAGGTGCTAAGATCCTCGCCTCTCTCAATAACTTTATCGATATGTGCACTTTTATTGATGAATAAAACAATAATTTCAGAGTCAGTCTATTACATTTGCTTCAGTAACACCAACCTTCACAACAAATTCCAGCATGTGAACCAGCCCTATTCTCAACTTTGCCTAATTCACTATCAATAGATGCGCATCAAGCCATTTTAGAATTTTCCTCTTTCAAAATCATAAAAAATTTTAAACCAATCCAAAAATTCAACGCTCCACAAATATTAAATTACAAGATAATATAATATAATTGAAAATTGGAAAACAATAAACACACTAAACACACATATGGAAACAGATAAAGTTGTTGTAGAAGAAGGAGCAACCACCACCACCACCTCTGATACTACCACTCTCTCCGAACTCTCCACTCATTGGATCCATCTTCATCAAATAATAATACAAATAATACAACTAATAATAAGAATAATAACAAGAATGATAATAACAACAACAATCGGAGAGAACCAATCTCTCAGGATTCATATAGCAGTAGTGGTGATTCATCATCTTCATCCACATCAAGTTGTTCATCGAGTCAACAACAACAACAACAACACGAATTAATACCAACAACAACAATAGCAACAGACTATTACAAATAATACAATATTAAACAATCAGCACAGCTCGACTCTCCCAACAACTCCAATTAAAAGTAATTTCCTAACCAAGGAGGAAGAAGAGGAAAATCAAATCATTATTCATAGTAGTCGAGGAGATGAACAACAGGAAAAACAACAAGAGGAATTACTAGCCTTACAAAATCAAATTTTCCTCTCACAGACTGGTATTTCAGAGACACCAATACTTGATAGTGCTGGTAGAGTTTTATTCGCTCATAAAACTTCATCGATGAGTATGACACACGATCAGCAGCAACAACATCAACTTGTACCAACATCACCATCGAGAAGTAGAATTCTATCAAATGTATCATCATCAGGTGTTGGTACTGCTGGTGGATTGAATAATCAAGATGTCATTGGAGCTAGAGATGTAATGCTATTAACACCAACTAAACAACATCAACAACATAACAATAATTTGGCATCTCCTAAAGGGTCTGAGAAATCCTCATCTCGACATTTTGCTCTATTTGATAGTGCAGATTTGGAAGAGGAGAAGCACCAATCGGAAAAGTTTACAACTTTGGAAAGTAATAGGGAATCACTTAAATTAATGAAGAGAAGACATCGAGAAAATTATCTACCAGAGACTTTTCTTCACTTTTGTAAACATGAAACATCTAAGATTTATGGTTGGAGTTTAGAGAGCGAGAAACATTCTGTCCAATTTTATAACAAATCGATATCACTTCATTCATTGACAACTGGAGACTTTTCTGCAATTTCTAGGTTAACTTCACAAAATACTTTAGAAAGTACCAGTACACAGGATTTATCGAAAAATTTACGATTCAAGCAAACACCAATGATTAACGATTCTGTTAATTTTGTAATTGCCAATAGATTTGTTGGTATTTTGAGTGATACGAATTTTAGGGATGCATATTTGGCTTGTAAGGATATTCAATTGAGAAAACAAGCAAAACAAATGGAAGAAGTTGTAGTTTTGGAAAGTTATTATCATGTGGAAGGACCTGAAATTACTGATTCACGAAAATCTAAGATACCAGATGAGAGTTTTGATATTATTTATCAGAGAACCTCATCACCGAATACTCTATTTGGTAGGTTTTTTGTTCATTTTGGAGGATATTAATGTTTCTTATATTATTGGAATAGTTTCAAAGAGAGAATATCTCACAGCAAGATACTTTATTGAGGAATCGGAACGATTAATTATTTTGGAAAGATCTATCGAAAAGATACTTCCCATTCCATCAATGCTTCAAGCACTGACCATGGAGAATGATAAGATACTGAACGATTTCAAGAATGAGCATCATCATCACCATCTGAGTGAAACAAACACTCCACTTCAATCCAATAATAATTTACAAAATGATATTTCACTTTCTCCTTCACAACGACAACGTAGTAGGAGTGTTGGAATGAGCAATTCTAGTAGGCCAATAAGTGAAATTCACATGACACCACTCTCTGCCAGAACAACTACATCATCTCATATTTTACAACAAAGCGCTCCGAATTTAACTTTACAACCCTATCCAAACGACACCCTCAAAACCACACTTGCAAGCAGCACTGCTCCAACTCAGAAAGGTGTGGTTCGAGCTAATATTTTATTCCAAATTTTGATATTTGATCGATTGAGCGATACGGAGACCAAGTTCCAGATCATTAATAATGTAGATGTTAAGGGGTGGCTTAAATCTTGGAATTCCATTACTCAGAAGAGTACGCCACACAAAATATTTGAAGATTTTGTTGATGTAATTGAAGAGCACAAGAAGAATACAAAGTAGAACTTTGCAAGAAAATTAAAGCCCTTCACCTTATTTTGGTATTCTAATACATTGTTAATTGTTACAAATTAATGTTTATTATCAATAGGTTTCACTGATAATGATGTTATTTCGTTAGGTAATTAGGAGTGTTATTTGTTTCTTTTGAATTTGCTTTTGAGGATTGCAACCAAGCCTTGCTTTTCGCCCATGTCAAAAACAAGGGAAGAAGCAGAGCCAGAAATTGATTTTTCTTTTTGCCACTTATCAGTTGCCTGGGTGAGACAATCCTTAATAGTTGCCCATTCAGATCTGGTAAAATCCATAGTAGAGATTATATCAAAGGCTGTCTTTCCACTATTATCCTTGATAGAGAGGAAGTTATAGAGTGTGAGAGGTGTCTTGACAACAATATCATTTCCTGGATGGCATAAAAAATTTTGTTCTAGCCAGGTCATTAACCATTCGAAACCATTAAGCCAAGGTAAAAAGTCATCAGGTTTTTTAGACATCATTCTTACAGCAAAGTCCATGCTGATGTGGAAAATGGTCTTTCCTTCTTTATCTCTATCAAAAACCATTGAAGAAACAAACTTGAACTTGTCAGGATTCTTCAAAGTATACTCGAAAAGGAATTTACAAATTGTTTTGACGCAATCCACATCATTGAAACAAACTGCTTGCATCAATACATTGTATCCAAATGAGTTTTTCATTAAGAGAGCCTTTTCAAATAGCTCTGTACCGAAGAGTGTTGTTCCATTACTGAGTATATCTTTAAGGAAGAGATAATATTTGCCACTTGTATTCTTGTTAATGACAACCAGATTACTCATTCTCCTCTCTACTCTTGTCTTTTTCTCGGTGAGATCCAATAAATTAGATGATGAATTTGAACTGTGAGTGTTAATAGTTCTATAATCTCTGAGGCAAGCGAATAGAGCATGCTCCTCTCTTTGATTCTTTTTGAGTAAGAGTCTTGGCATGTACTTGCAAATGTATTGACTCATATCCATATTGCAATCTCTGAATGCTCCATGAAGTAATGACTCTCCCAAAATACCTACACCAACTGTAATATCCAACTTGGCTCCAAATAATTGAAGCATATCACAAAGTTCGTAATCTTTACGCTTCAATGCCAATACTATTGGAAGATTTCCGTATTGATCTGGAATAAAGTTCAATTGCTTTTCTTGAACTGATGGTTGACTACATAAAAATACACAAGCATCATGAGCCTTCTCACCCAAATCATTTCCACCAACACCATAGAATAATGGTGTCATTTCTTGTTTGTCCTGTAAGACCCACAATTTAGCTTGTCTTTGTTTACACTTTTTAGAGTGTTCTGCTGTTTCACCTGTTGGACTATCCTTGCTGCAATCGTGGTCACAACAACATTCCAAAAGCCATTGCAAAATATCAACATGATTATACTTGGCAGCTAAATGCACAACAGAAGCGTTTTGGAAATTAGGATAGGTCAAGTCACAAACAAAGTCAGCAACATGAGGTCCAACAATTCTCTCCCTAGCAATTCTTCTAATAGGACTGAAAGAATGTTGGGAGTTTCCTGAAAGTGTTGCCTCAATAGTTGGTGGACTTTTAGTTTTTTCATCTTGAGCAGGATCCATTTTGGTTGGAGTTGAAAACACTGTTTCCTTTTGTGGTATTGGAGGTGGAGAAGGCTTTCCAAAGATGGAAAGTTTTTTTCTCGAAGGTGATTGCTCGACAGGTTTGTTACTAGATGTTGAAATGTCACATGAATATGTAGTGTTTAGGAAACTTGTGTCAGTGATGATCGCAGACATTCTTTCCTCCTTCATTCTAGTTGGTGCCTTTGGTCTTGAAAACTTGCCCAAAGCAGCTGCTGCTCCAAACGAACTTGAAGATTGGTGTGTTCCTCGAGTAGCTTGTTTGTTTCTGTTAGCATTTGTTGTTTCATAGGTTTCTTTGTTTTGAAGATATGTCAGTAAATCCATTGTTACACGTTTATCAGTGCTGGCGGCTGACTTGAAATCATCATCCATATCAATCTTATTCTTTTCATTATTACTCGAGGTTGTTGTTGTTTCTATAGGGTTTGTATTTTCATTAGGGGTGGTGGTGGTTGATGATGTGGAAGGTTGAGTTGGTGGAAGTTTAGGTAAAATTTTGTGTGAATATCTTGGTATTCTTACTTGTTGCGATATTCTCGACAGGTAATCATCAATATAATCCTCTACTCTACATTGTACTCTTTGTGAAAACAGAGCACTGGTTGAGTGTCGAACCAAATCTCCTCCAACGCTCGACAGAGCTGGCTCAATTTCGAATAATTGCAATAAATCACTTCTCTTTTGCAATCTTTCTTCATGTGGCAGCAATTCTCCAGTACTAACTGGAGTAGCACATGAAAAGGCCTTTCTATCACTGTGATAATTGTTGTGGTTGTTTGAAGATTGTCCGATGTGATTCATGGCAGACGAAAGGCAATTACTTGTTGATGACGAAACAAAATTCATCAGGGAGAGATTGATAGGTTCTACCACAAGAGAATCAGTAGAATCAGAAGCTGTGGATGCCATTCTATTCTAACTGGTAAATATTGTTGTTAATTAATAAATAATTGAATGGTTGCTGAGTGTTGTTTGTTTTTTTCTTCTAGTTTGGAGTTGAATATTAACAAGAAGCCTCTTACTGTTTGATCACTCACTGAATTTGAATGGAAAAGGTGAGAATAACTTGTTTTGCTTATGAAAGGGACAGATTGACTCAACTAAAGTTGTGTTCACTTCTAAAATTAGGTCGCTGTTTTATATTTCTTGTTGAGTACTTTCCGAGTGAACAATAATACTCTTCTTTAAAACAACCAATCAATTCTTCAATCCTTTGAGTTGTGTTGTTGCTCTAATATTTTACTTCACTGGAAAGCTTAACTCTGTGCGGGATCTTTTGAAACACAGTAAAAAAGCAAAACGGTAAGTTTTTGTTTTGGAGGGAAAATGTTGGAGGTTTTTTTTTCAATTCAAAAAAAGAGGCTTATCGTGATCTAGTCGCTTGTTGTTGGTTCGCGAAGCTTTCTTGCTGATATGAGACTCTTTATGATGAAGCGTTCGTTGTGTTGGTGAATAGTGATTGGAGAGTTGGTCCCTTTGTTTTTTGTGATGTGAATTTTGATGCATTGTAGAATGTCTTTTGAAGAATTATCGTTCTTATTGGCCAAAATGTTTTTCTACTTGTCCACTGTCTACAATAATAGGCTTTTTAAGGCTTGTTAATGAGGAGGGAACTTTGATGATCTTGAACTAATGGATTTAAAAATTAATATTGAATTCGATAGTATTTGTAGTTAATCTTTGAAAATATTAATTATTATAATTAATTGTCATACAAAGGATTGAAAGAGAATCAAACAAGTTAGATGAAAGTTAATTGGAAAGATTAATTTGACACATTTGTAGGGTTAATTGCAAAATTGGAGACAACATTTATGATTGAACATCATATGACTCTTTTTTGATTAACTTCCCAAATTACATCAAAGTGAAAGGATTATTACAAAATATTTAAATTACAAATGGATTGTATTGGCTTACTGAACATGTTTGGAAATATTTACAAACTGGAAACTATGTGGACAAACCTCTTTGATTTTGAACGGCCCACATTAACTGTTACACAGACATTCCACTATGCAACATTATTGGAACAATCATGATTCGGCATGGAGATTCGTGTTAACATAGAAGTGTGCCAGAAGTATTTTTACAATGGAAGCTTGTTGTATCAGCATTAACACTGTTCATTATTTGAACATTCGTATTGCATTAACTTGAATAGGAATTCATTGAGTTATCTTTAAACATGGAATACAAATGGATAGGAATTGAATCTAATGCCAATTCAATGTCAGAAATCCAACTAATTAACATTATCTCACAAATTGATTTATTTGAAAACTTGAACCTTTCTCTTGTAAACATTAGTGACATAGAACTCTCCAGTTGTAAAATCAATTCCCATCTCCAATCCTTCTCCTCCATCAAGTTCAAACTTGTGATCAGAATCAGCGTTTTCATTCTTGAAAAGAGTCAAACAAGATCCATCCAATTTAGTAGATTCAAGACCTTCATCTCCAATATAATAGAGAAGTTGACCGCTTGGATCCAATGTAAGTCTACTTGCAGCTCCTGGACTTACTCTTGAAACTCTGCTAATGACATTTCCTGTCTTGTCAGTTTTAATAATTGACTTGGAAGAGGTCAGTAACAAATTGTTATCAAAGTCTGTGGTAATTCCAAACAAGTATTCAAATGGAGGCACAAACATATTTTGACCACAAACATCTTCTCTCAATGTAGCTGTAACCTTACCACAACACAACTCCATCCTTTTGAATGGTATAAATGCTTCCATCATGTCTATCAATGCACATATCACGAACTCTTGATTGCTTATTAATACTCCAAAAGATTTTCTTTCCATCTCTTGACACTTTGGTAATGTCAAAATATGCACCTCTGTCAATACAATAGACAAGTGCATTGTCATTTTGATCGTAACACATTTTGAAAGGTGCATCTTCTTGTGGCTCTTTGAATGAAGCTTTGACTTTCTTGGTGGCCAAGTCAAATTCCACAATGATTAAATCGTTGGCCACAAACAAGGAGCCATGCTTCAAGTCAATTGCGCTACATTTTGGTTTGGACAAACTTGGCAAATCAACATGTTGCTTTAAACTTGGTAATAATGAGGCATTGGACAGAATTTTAGAAACCTTTCCAGTTTCGGCATGAGATTTAGTCTTGTTCGATGTATTGTGTAAATGCAAGTGGGCACCACAATAGTTTTGGTTGCATTCAGAGCAGTGATGAGTTGCGAGAACTTGTTCATCTTCAGCAAGGCATTTGTTGCAGAGCTTGTCTTGGGTCATGGTTGTGATGGTTGTATTTTTTTGAAGTGTGTATTTTGGATGTGTCAAAGCATCATCTTTTTATAGGAGACATGAACCTCTCATCATAATCATGTCAATAACCAAAAGATGGTTCTGCCCTTCTCCTTTGATTGTTCCTATCTTGTTCTCTAGTTTGTCCATTGGACACGCCAAATTTTGAAGGTAAATAATTGGTAATTATATCGGTTTACAATATTTGAAAGTTCGATTAATACCTTTCGTACTCTATTAGAACATCAATCCAAACATAAATCAACAAGAAAAAATATCAAAACATTTCCTCACACAAATTTTCAAGAAATGGTCAATTGCGATAAGTGTTTTAAAGATGACGAAGAAACAGTGCCAGCTACACATAACTGCAAACAATGCAACATGAACTTTTGTGATTCTCATACAACACTACATAATTCTGCTAACAAGACTAAATCCCACACGCCAGATGTCGTCCAGTTGGAAGTAGCTGTAAAGAATTGTGAAAAATGTTTGAAAGACGAACAAGAAACTGTTCCAGCAACACATTTTTGCAAATCATGCAATGCAAGCTTGTGCCAGGCTCACTTAACTTTGCACAATACATCAAACAAGACAAAGTCTCATGTCAATGACATTATTCAATTAACTAGCTCACCTCTCACTTCGTTTATTCCATTCAGTGGAGCTTTTGAACATATTGCAACTCTTGGCGAACAAGAACCAGTCAATTTTCAGTTCTCCAGAGTTGCTGCCATCACTATCGATCCAGTCAACCGTTCCTTATTCGTCTCTGATAAGAATACCTTCTTGGAATTTGATTTGAAAACCAAAAAGCTGAAAAACCAATTCAAAGAACCCCAAAACAGAGAAAACAAAATGTTAAATTATGATCCAAAAGATGATGCCCTAATTTACATGATTCACAGATGTAGCTCAGCACTTATTGTAAAAACTTCCAGAGATGGAAAGATGATTTATTGGGAAACCGCTGTGGGAGTTGTTAAAGGAATTACTGTTGATAGAAAGGATGGAACTGTTTATGTGCTACAAAAGAATGGAGTTGACTTTTTGTCACCTACCAATGGGGCAATTGTAAAATCTTTAAGAAATGACATTAATGGAAAGAGCATTTTTGAAATGCAGAATATTGATAGTATTGGAATTAATCATGATAATGATTTGGTGCTTATTGATCAGTATAATATTATAGTTTCGAATAAGAATGGAAAAATTTTAAAGAAACATACCAAGCACTCTACTGTTTTGCATGTAAGACCACAATTTGAACCAGTTACCAATAGAATATTTTGTGTTTCGTCTGGAATCGTTTTTATGAATGAAGACGGCACCTGTGTCACTAACTTTGAAAATGAGAAATCTCAAAAGTATAGATTTAACTTGTTTTATCCTGGTGAGGGCTTGGATATTGCATTGGATACAGAAAGTGGTGAATTATATGCTGGTGTCCACAGTGATTCAGAATTTGTAATTGTTTTCAAATAAATTAAAACAGGTTTGGACAAAGTTCATAGAATGTTCCTTGTTCATCCATCTCACCTTAATTGAAACGATAAAAAAACTAAAAATAAAATTAAATTAAAAAGAAATTAACAAAATGTTCTCCTCAAGCAATCAAACTTCATCATCGGAAAAATCACAATCATTATTAAATAATTCCCTCCATGAACACTGGGATAGTATAATAACGAGGGATAAATTAGCAATTTTAAAAACAAATAATTTCATAGTAATTGATGATTTCCTGCCTCTCCACCAATCAAATAATAACAATTCCGAAAATAATTTCTATGAAAAGATTGTTTCTCTCTCAGAGAATAATCTCCTCACACGAGAGGAATCATACATGGAGGATGAAGATAGTGGACAAGTGATACAAATTGGACAACATCCTTTCTACACATTAAAGATGATTAAGAAGGAACATGAAAAATCATCAATTAAGGAACATGTTGATATGTATGCTCTCACTACACAGATTGGACAATATTTTCAAAGGAGAGTTGTATTTGATGAAATATTAAAAAAGCCAGATGAGTCAATCGATGATGATTTCTTTAATAAGGTTGCATTGTGTAAGGATTTTGAGAATGGACTTCCAGTTCATTTGGATAATCATAATGCTGATAGTAGAAAGCTGACGATTGTTTATTATACAACTCCATATGTGGATAATCAAGAGGAGAAACAACAAATGGAAAAGAAATATAAAGGATTTCAATTTGAGGAGAGAAATTGGGAAGGTGGATTATTGAGAGTTTACAAACCATCAACCAAGTTGTATATTAATTATTGGGAAACTGAGAAGGAAGATATTGAACCTAAATTCAATAGAGCTGTCCTCTTTTACAGTGATACCATAGTTCACACAGTTACAGAGACGAAACCAAAGGCAAATTTGAATCAAATTGTTAATAATACTGAAATGCATCCACCTCGAACAACAATCACCACATGGATCCATTGCAATGACATGTCCTTCATTTGTCGAGATAGGGTCCTATTCCAAAGACAAATGATCAAATTCTTCCAGAACTAATTCCTCACAACACTTTTCACACTCTCCCACAACCCAACATAACCAAGCATTTCAGAGATCAAATGCTATTGAACCAATTAAAGAACAACCTTCCACTTAATAATCCTTGTTTCCCTTCCAATAGCTAGAGCTGTAATATGCATCATTGAGTCGCATGATTGTTGTTGGTATTTAGCCACCCATTCAAAAAAAACAACGACAAACACTCGGTGTTCCATCATCACACATCTTTTGTTGAATTATTTGGGGATGATGATAGTGCCACTATGGTTTTGAAACGACATCATGATGAAGAACAGAATTATCTTAATCAGGATGGGAAGAAATTAAAGATATTATTGTTGTGGACAATGATAATGATGATTTGTTGTTATTCATCAATGTGTTTTAATATATTTGTGAATGGTACTTCCGAAGAATTATCCATACTTCCAATAATTGCATCATCATCTTCACCACCAATAAGAAGAATATCAACAAAACCAACATTAGCATTGGATCAAACCATTAGACAATTAGTGAATGAAATTATACATGAAGACCTCACCTATTCATCTTCCTTATCATCACCATCCACAAGAACATCATTATCATCATCATCTCTATTAGGAACATCATCAGATGAAGAAAGTGTTACTGTCTATGTGAATCCACAGAATGGTTCTGATAGTATTGGATGTTCATCGGATGCCATTACTTCATGTAAGACAATTCCATTCTCTTTGGATGATTTAAAAACAAATAGGAAAATTGTGAATACGAAACAGATTCTTCTCTATTTGCAGGCATCTATTGAAGAGAAAGATGTTGGAGATGCTATTAATTGTAAAGGGTTTAATTTTACTGGAATTAACTTTTCTGAGGTTAAAATTTCAGCAAATAGTCCAGTAATTGTTAATTGTAATTATGTTTCGAATTGGAGTTCTAGTTTTAGATTTAATTTGACAATGAGTAATATAGTGTGGAGGAATTTTAATATTCCAATAGTTTCCACAATGGACTCAATTGTCATTGAAAATTCAGTGATTCAGAATGTAACCATTTCCATGTCAAAATTTCTCAATATTCGAAACTGTAGAGTTACCAGTGATGGAGCTGATTTTAGTATTCTTCATATGAATGATATTGAAAATGTGATAATAAGCCAGACGTCATTTGAGAAGAAAGCTATTGGATATTCCATTTCTAGAATTTCCTCAAATATTTATATTGAAAATATTAGTGTGGATAATAGTTTATTGATCTTTTATGGATTTGTTAGCATGGTAGATGGTTCTTCAGTGAAAAATTCTCTCACTTTAGTGGATAGCAGATTCACAGCAAGTACAGTGAGGATTATTGAATTTAGTGAAATCTTTTTCAGGAATAATACTCATTCAGGAAATATTCTACCTACAAACATTCCAAATATTGTCTCGTCATACTTTTCAGAGTATAGCTATTCTGGATTTTCTGTGAGCTGCCTCACTGTGAGAAGTGATTTGAGGGTGAGGAATGTAACAGTGGAGAATATGAAATTATATGGAGGAGCACTGATTGAAGGCCCAGGTCTGTATGCTCGATTCTTTGATTCCATTTTCAAAAATAATAAGAATAACCTTGGAGGAGGAGCTATTCATGTGAGGACTGTTTTCAGAGTTTTCATTGAAAATGTCCAATTCCTTTCTAATAGTGTAGATTCTTCTAATGGAAAATTAGGTTTGGATTACATTGGAGGTGGAGCCATTTATCAATACAGAAGTGTCCTCATCACCAGTGGCTGCTACTTTGACAGTAACAATGGTGGTATATTTGGTGGAGCCATCTTTAGTTTCTTACCACTTGAATACTTTTCATTGGATGATAATTTCGTTTCCAATACTGCTGGTTATGGAGGAGGTTATGCCAGTATGGATACCATTTCCATTTCTCAAATTGCATTTACAGATACCTCCATGATAGGTAATAATTGTTCAAATTCTGGAGGTGCCATTTTCACAATGAATTCTGAAATTACATTCAGTTATGGATCTTCAGATTTCAAATCCATTTCTGGAAATAATGCAAATCTTTTGGGAGGTGGTATTTTCTTTATTAATTCAAAGCCATCATTTGCATATAGAAGAATATCCAAAATATTTGTGAATAATTATTGTAAGGCATCTCCTTATTTATCAGATTATTCTTCATTTGCAACTGAAATTCAAACAACTCCATCTGATTTTACCCTTAAACCTGGTACTGCGGATATTTTACTTTTTGATTTATATGACATGTTTGGAAATCAAGTTCCTTTCACGTCTAATTTAGAGATTGAAATGTCTTCAGATGATGCAATCTATCCAGAGATTAGTTCAATGAACTCACTTGCAACTGGTTTCCAAAAAAGATTTACTTTTACAGTTTATTTGAAAACAAACCGATTTCTAACATTTAACACAACTGTGAATATGGTTATTGGTTTGACTAATATTCCATACGAAAAGAATTTGAATTTAAAGGTGAAATTACAGAGTTGTTCGAGTGCAGAATCTCTAGTAGTCAACCTTTTCAAGAGTTCTACATCTAGGGTTTATTATGAATGTGGACCAAATGCAGCCTTGGTAGCTTCCTTAGTTGTCCTGGCATCTTGCTGTTGTGGAGCGTGTTGCCTTATTTTCTGTGTCTTTATTACTTATAAATTTGTAAAGATGAGAGGTCAGGTTGCACTTTTAGCAAAGAAGGAAAAAGCTGAGGAAGAATTGACTAAAAAACTGATGGATCTCCAAACACTTTATAATAGTGAATTGGAAAATAAGCACTCATACAAGGAATGGCTTATTAAATTGGATGATGTGGAATTGATTAAGAAAGTTGGTGAGGGAGGAGGTGGAATTGTCTATTTGGCTAATTGGAAACGAGTTCCAGTTGCTTTGAAAACTATCAAGATTGAAGATGAGGATTTGGATTCTAATGATTTTGAACATGAGGCATCACTTTTGAGCTCAATTAGACATCCACATATTGTAACATTTTATGGTAAGTTTACAATAATTTGGACCCATATCAAACAATTTTATTAGGAGTTTGTTTATCTAATTCTGCCAAATTCATGGTTACTGAATTTATGCATGGAGGAAGTTTGGATACCTTTATTTATGGCTTGAAAAATCATAAAAAGAAGATTTCGTTCGTGCAAAAGATTAGAATACTTTCGAATATTGCTTCTGGAATGTCCTATCTCCATGACCGTTGCATCATGCACAGAGATTTGAAACCTGGAAATATTTTACTTTCGAATGAATTAACAGCAAAGATTACAGACTTTGGCTTGTCAAAACTCTATACTACGGATAGTGGAAGCATGACCAAGACTTGTACAGTTGGAACTTTACTATGTAAGTATTAGTTATTTGTTTAAATTGATTTGTTAATTTCCAATGTTAAAGATATGGCACCGGTATGTGAAATATTCTTAGATTTTTGTTAATATGTAATTAAATGATAATAGGAAGTTTTATTAGGAACTAAATATGATGAAAAGTGTGATATTTACAGTTTTTCTATTATAATGTGGCAAGGTGAGTATAAAATGGAATTTGTGAGAATATTTAATATGATTTCAACAAGTCTTATTTGAGGAATCGTCACTATTCAATTCATCCTACGTGAATGATCCTAAATACAGCTTAATTATGACAGAAACTCAAAAATTGGCTTTCAAGAATTTGAATGAGGCCTACATGGTTGTTCCAAAGATGGTAACTGAAGGTTTGAGACTTCCGTTACCTTCCTTGCCATTAAGTGATAGCTATGTGGATTATTGGATATATGCAGATTGTGGAGATAAAAAAGTGGGTGCCACTCTTAAGGATAGTTATGATTTCGTACTGGCAGGAATGTTTAAATTGATTGAGGAATGTTGGAATGCAGAGGTAGCTCAAAGACCACCATTCACTCGTATAGTGGATAAATTAGTGGAATTTGAAAAAACTTTACAAAGTAAATAAACATATTTTACCAAACCAACAAGTCAGTTATAGTAATATTTATTGAGCCTTATAGATAAATACTTGATCATAACTTCCAACGAAGAGTTCACCTGTTTCATCTAAAATATCTACTGCTTGAATTGGAATATCATTAACTAAAATCTTATCATAACCTTCCAAATTGACCAAACGAACACTCTTGTGATAATCATTCAACAAAATATTTCCAGTAGCTCTATCAAGTCTCATTGAATCTGTATGTGCTCCAGCATTGTGTGTCTTTAAGATTCTTCCTTTAGAATTAATGAGATAGATTGTTGAACTATCTCCAATGTAGAATTGATCTTCAACGCCAGAATACAAGACAGAGCAGAAGCAATAATAACGAGATTTTCCTTGGGAATCTTCTGAAATGACTTTTCCACTCTGACCATCCTTTGTACACATTTGGATAATTTGAGTTCCACAACCTTCCGTCAAGCACATAATTGAAGAATCTAATTGGTTGACTGCAATGTAACGTGGAATGAATTTAAATCCTTTTTGTTCTCTGTTATGATAATCAACTTTCCACATGATATCTCCTTCATAACTGAATTTGTAAAATGCATCAGTAGCCACAACGATTGTATCCTCATTGTAATCTATATCAATATCATAAATACTTTGACAATCTCCAACTGGAACCTTAATTGTCTTGATGTGTCTCTTTGTTGTCAAATCAAAGATGTGAACTTTCAATCTTTCAGCCACAAGCAAATGCTTTTTCTTTTGATGAACAACCATGGCAATCAATCCTGAAAATTTGAACTCACCACAATCTTCTTCATCACCCAATATAGCTAATCTCTTCATATTTCTATTTGGAGTGACCTTTGGTGGTTGAGTAACTGGTAATGGTCTAATTCCCATTTGAGAAACCAAGTGAGCTTCACCAGATTTGTAAATTACAATCTTATTGTGGAATGAGACGTATAATTCACCCAATTGATCAGAAACTTCACAACAACTTGTGCCACCTTCTTCAGCAAAACTCTTTGAATAACCTTCCATATTAACAAACTTGATGCATTTGTGATAATCACTCAAAATGAGACAACCAGTGTAATGGTCAACTCTCAATGAATCAGGAGTAGCTTCCAATTGATGAGTTTTCAAAATTTTACCAGTTGAGTCAATCAAGTAAATTGTTGAACTATCTCCAATATAAAATTGATCTCCATAACCAGAATAACAAATAGAATGGAAGCAATAATAACGAGATTTTCCTTGAGAATCTTCTGAAATGACCTTTCCACCTTTTCCATCCCTTGTCATGATTTGCAATACTTGAGTTCCACTTCCTTCAGTTGCACACAACACAGACGAATCAGCTTGGTTGACTGCAATATAACGTGGCACAAATTTCATTCCCTTTTCTTCCATATTTTGTGAATTGAGTTTCATTATCAAATCTCCTTCAAAATTAAGCTTGAAAAGCGAATAATCTGCAATGACATAAAAAGTGTCATCATTGTAATCAATGTCAATATCAGTTGGATAACTGCCACTTCCCCATAAATGGTTACAATTCAAAGTTTTCAAATTTCTCTTGGTGTTCAAATCGAAAATGTGAATATATTTCCAATCAGCAACGAAAAGCCAATTTCTCTTTTGATGGACAACCATTGCATAGACATTTTGAAATTTGAATTCGCCACAATCTTCTTCTTCGCCCAAAGTTGCAATTTTTTGATAGGTTAAATTACGTGGAGTTGGTTTTTGTGGAATACTTGTTGGTAAATGTTGTGGAATTTGAGTTTGTGGTTGACCAAATGGTTGTTGTTGAGGTGGAGGAACACCAGTTTGAGGTGGAAATTGTCCATAAGGAATTTGAGTTTGTGGTTGTCCATATGGTTGTGGTTGACCTGGAATGCCAGTTTGAGGTGAATATTGTGGTTGACCATAAGGTTGATTTACGTATTGTGGAGGATATTGTTGAGGAGGAACATTTGGTTGACCATAATATCCTTGTTGAGGTGGATATTGTTGATTAGTTTGTGGTTGACCAAATGGTTGAATTTGTGGTGAATATTGACCAACAACATTTGGTTGACCAGTTGGAGGAGGAATTTGAGAAGTACCAATTGGTTGTTGACCTACTTGTGGTGAATATTGTGGTTGTCCATAATATCCTTGTGGAGGATATTGTGGTTGTCCATATGGTTGTGCATAACCTCCATAATAACCTCCTTGTGGTTGTTGTTGTTGTGGAGGATATCCATAACCTTGTTGTGGTGGATATTGTGGTTGACCATATGGTTGTTGTTGTGGATGGGGTGGGTATTGGTAATAGCCTTGTTGTTGTTGTTGTGGAGGTTGGTGTTGACCAGTAGTTGGTTGAGAGTTTGTTGGTGGTGTGTTAATTGACATTTTTTTTTGTTTGTTGTTATTAATTAGACTTTGTTGGTTTCCTTTTTTAAATGATTAACTTGTCAAGTTTCTCTTAATTTTACAATGTGAAATGTTCAGGGAGAGTTCTGGTTGAGTGAAAGGAATTTGTTCACACATTTCAAACTGGTGTATGATTATTGAAATTTACTATCTTCAGATTATTTAATTACTTGTGACAAACGTTGAAATAATATAGTGGGTCAATTTGTGAATACTAAGAAACGGACTTATTCTTAAAGATTTCATTCCCAAGATCGAATATTTCATGTCAATTATTATTAGTAGCATTGTCATTATTTATATAACTCCATAATTATTCAAGTTTCGTCATCTGATCCAAGATTTATTCAGAATTAAGGAAAAAAAGAGTGTTAAGGAGTGCCTTATATAAAAAAAAGTGAAATTTATTATTAATTTGATATGTACTAATACATGGGAAAGTTGCACGATTTGGAAATTTAATTTGGGCGAGTAAATAACCAAATCTTAGTCAACCAAACCGGAACTTGACCAACACAAAAGAACAGGAATAAATTATAATAAATATGATGTTTATTATCAATTTAAATAGTACTACTAGAAGAAACTTTTTGATTTGGTGAAGTACATGATGGGTAGTATACATGTGTATTTTCAAATTTCACACATACCTTTCCCTATCATTACTTGACCAAAAGTCATCGGACAAAATCTTTTCTGATACTATTGACCATTCCGAACAATACTATATTGACAGATTTCCAACTTGTACAGTAGATTCCACACTGATGATGAATAGTAGTGAGAACTAAAATTAAATTACTAAAAATTAATTTCCACAAATACTATTATTATATCGATGGAAAATATCATTGATGATGGTTGGTGAATGATCAGATGATGGTATCACTAACATGACTTTTTCCATGATGAAAAATAATTTCTAATTTCATGATGATAATTTTCCAATAAAAATCACTATTACTACTATTATATAGATGATGTAGAGATGACGAGCTGAAATTATTGTAGTATAAAGATGTGAAACCACTCCGTAAATCATCAAAGTACATCACGTACTAGAGGTTGAATTTTTTTTTAATTTTTTTTTCTTCCAAAATCCAAATCCAAGTCGGGATGTGATATTCTTTCAATTTTTGTGTTATGCAACATTTTCAATAAATATATTTCAACTAATTGCATGGATGAGAAACACCAAACACATTGAAATTCATTTATTGAAATCCAGTCACATCTCAGCTAAACTGGAAATTTGTTTCTAATAGTTTCTGAATTACAAATTATAACGCATGCAATGATGATAACAAGAAACCTTATAATCACCAGTACTACCAGCACAATATCTAGCACAATCAAATGAAGAGGCATCACTCAAACTCTTTACAACGTTATCAACAGTCTTAGGAGCAAGACGTCTTTTGATTGACTCTTGGGAATAACTTTCTAATAATTTGACGATCACTTGCATCTGGATACAAGTTACGAGCAAGTTTTCTCAAAAGAGCAGCAGAGTCAATTGGTTGTTCTTCTCTGGCTTGAGTGAAGGATGCAATACAAGCAAACAATGCAATTAAAGCAAATAAGATACACTATGTAATCTTGTTCATTTTGTTTTTTTCGAACAGGGCTTAATTAATGCCAGCTGGCATGATTTAAAACCAAAGAAAGACAGTTAGTTGTGTGGCTCTATTGTAAACAATTTGTCCGGTCCAGCTTTTAATTGATTATTTGCCATAGGTGTTACAGCAAGTTTGTTATGTAACACAAACCTCCAAAAACAGATTGATCGAAAAGACCATACCAAATTCAAATAGTGCTACCCCTATTAAATCACAGATAACAATTACAATGCTGTAAATGTGTTTATTCTACAAATTTTCTCCAGCTATTACCTTGTTGTTAGCACCAATTTTCTATGTGTTGTGGCGTGAGTTTAGCTGATGAAATAAGCTATTAAGAATTGTTTAAATAAAAATGAGAAAACCCGATGTAGACTCTCATGGTGATGATGATGATGCATTATTAGATTTTATTACTGAGGAAGGATTGTATGAGCATGATCCGAATGCTACCCCAATTGGAGTAAATACTACCGAGGCAATGATGTTCGAAACTCTAATATTCAATATTAAGGACAGTGAGAATTCTGTTTCCACTATTAAAATAATACCAACCGAAAATGAAACCCTGCACTATAATGCTAATTCCTTAATTCCAATGAAAAACGACAAGATAATCAATAAGAGAAATGTGATTACTCCCAAATTTATATCAAAAAAGCATTGCTTTAAAGCAAATCATGAAAATCTCAACTCAATTTCGGAGCAGGTTTGCAAAATAACTGCCTTAATGAATAGTGCCTCCGACTCAATTATTTACTCATCAATTGGTACTGCAGTGATTGTGCTCAATAATATGAAAGGATACGTTATGGCATTCACGTGTGCTCATGTTTTGTATCCAACTAAAGATCATGATTTATCCCTTGTTGAGGTTGTTGCAGAAATTGATGGAAAGAAAGGACAGTGTGTTGTTGTAGAAGAAGGGGCCTTTCGACTCAGTAATCAAGTTTCGGATGACTGGGTATTGTTAAAGATAATTGTTGAGGATTTGGAACCACTTCAATATGTACCAATTATTCCTTCTCCATCAATGATTGGATTGTTGAACCATATTACAGATAGCAATTATTGTCCTGAGTTTTACACTACTCTCTTGTTTGGTTACTTTGTTGGGAATAACCATCTAGAAGAACTAAAGCTCAGAAAGTTAGGATTGAATAGTTCAGATGTTTGGAAATTAGTCCCACAAGAACAAATGTCGGCATCTTTGGGTTGGACAGTGGAAACTTGCAACAGTAATGTTATTTACAATAGTGGAAGTTTGAATTCTTGTTCTGGAGGACCAGTTTTCAAATGTAGGATAAAGGTAGAAGAAGTGTTGGAATGTGACAATACTGATCTAGCATCCTTAATGGAGAAAAGCTATTTCTCGATCGGTTTACTGGGACTTCATTGTGGTGGAGCAACTGGAGGGAATATAATATGTTCATCTCATAACTATTTCAAGAGCTATTATTTCAATGTTTACACTCCTCACAAGAATTGTTTCTCTAAAGAAGATCAACACAAAATTGAAATGGAATGGGATTTTATTAATCAATTATCCTAACTCCTTAATGATTTCATTCCATTCCAACACCACATCAACTAATTGAAAATATTTCCACATTAACATTAACATTTATGTTTATTTCTTGTTCTTTCTTTTAACAAAAATGCAAACGACAACAATTAAAGCAATAATTGTACCAATGACACACAATCCACCAACACTACCAACAATGGCAGCAATCAATACAGTATTATCTTGTAGAATGGCTGCATCTTCCTTGTTTGGTTGACTTGTTGCTTTTTTGTAATTTTGGTCAATTACTGAAAAGGATGTCAAATGATTTGTGTTACATTTGATTGACAATGTTACGGTGACATTTCCATCGGCAAGTTGCTGAGTAATGATTTGATTTTGAATTTCAGTTTCCAATCCATCTGATTTCCATTCTTTTGAATTTTCATCCAAGTAAACACATGAAATATTCAATTTTTCTATATTTGGTAGAGTTAATGTTACATTTTCAAAGGAGAATGAAATTGGTTGTTGCAAATTTTGGACTGTAATCTTTTCATTTGAATTTGATTTCAATAAAACTAATGAAACAACTTGAGAAATTACAGCAGTTTCGGATTTCTTACTTTCAGATAGAGAAGAAACTACTTGAACTGAATCATTCTTCAGAGAAATTTCAGAACTTTGAAGATATTGAGAAATGATTGATGGAAGTGAAATTGAAATGGATGGAGTTGACGAAAATTGAATAGTCTTTGAATCTAATTGAGTGATATTCGAAACTATGCTTGTTTGAGATTCAGTTGTGTTGAAAGATGAAGATGAGCAAACAGTTGAAGTTGGATAAAGAGTACAATAATCAGCAATAGAACAATCCAATCCTGAATATCCAGTCAAGCAAGAGCAACTATTCAATGCTTGACAAGTTCCCTTACCAGAACAAACTTTCGAATCATCAAACGAAACTCCATAACATGTTGTAATGTTACACACCAATCCACCCGATGGTAATTGATTCATAATATATCCAACTGGACAATAAGGAGTCAACATTCTAATTCTCATATTCATGGTATCAGCAAATACAATTCTGCCATCTTTCAAAGTTGATAATCCTGTTGGATTGTTCAACAATGAATTCTTTGCATTGGAAGAATCTCCATTGAAACCTGCTTGGAAAGGTTTTCCTGCAATTAAGGTGATATTTCCAATCAAGTCAACCTTTCGAATAACATTATTATTGGTATCTGCAATAATCACTTCTCCATTTGGTAAATAAGCAACTGAGCTTGGGTTATTGAGATAGGATTGAGTTGCCAATTCATTTTCTGGCATTGAAACAATACCTATATTAGTTCCCTTTCCTGCAATAGTTGTCACTTTGCCTTTTCCAGAAATATCTGTCTTTCTAATTTTGTTATTTCCTGAATCGGTAAATAGAATTTGATTATTAAGAATTCTAATATCATTAACAAGATTAATATTTGTCTTATTGGCAAAATTATCTCCATTATCAGTGTAATAATAAGCACCAACCACTGAATCAATTAATCCACTTGAAAATGAAACCTTTCGAATTCTATAATTTCCCTTATCGGAAAGGTATAGATCTGTATCAGTAAGGGCCATAGACGAAACAGTTGACAGCTCAGAATTGACAGCTAAACCTCCATCTCCAATTCCACCAGCTATCGTAACAACCTGTCCAGACGAAACCTTTCTAATCAAATACACATCGACAAAATAAACTTCACCATTCCAATAAACTACACATTGAGGAACGGCAATACTTGTGGACAAAGCAGGTCCATCACCAGTTGTGGCCATATAGGACACTAGTCCAGCAATAGTCGAAACCATATTCGAACCATAAATCATTCGCTTAATGCCATGAGTAGACGGACTGTCAAAGTACAAATCTCCGTTCGGAGCGAATGAAATTGCAGAAACTCCGCCAATATTTGTTGCATTGGCTAAACTTGTGGCAGAAAGTGATTGACCACCTCCAATTACTGTATAGACCTTTCCATCTTGTGAATTAACTCTTCTAATGAGATATTTTCCAGTACTACCACCAATGTCAACAAAATACAATTCTAAACTAATTGGATGAATAGCTAAACCTCTTGGATAAACTGAGGTGGAAGTGGCATTGAATCCATCTGCAGTGAAGGCGGAAGATCCTGTTCCAATAACTGTGTAGATTTTACCTGTGCTGGCATCAATCTTTCTAATTCTGTAATTCTGGTTTTCTTTTTAAAAATTATATTAGAAATAGTTTTGAATAAACTTACCTGAATAGAAAATATCACCATTACTTGCATTAACGCAAATACCAGATGGATAATTCATATTTGTGGAGAGCGCAGACAATCCCTCTCCATTATATGTGGTATTTCCTGTTCCAGCAATTGTTGTAATATTTCCAGAGACGAAACTCAACTTTCTAATTCGATTGTTGGAAGATTCTGTAATTAACAAATCACCATTTGGTGTGAAAGCTAGAAAACCTGGTCCATTTAACTTGGCTTTCAATGCTGGTCCATCTACATATCCTGCTGAACCAGTTCCTGCTACAGTGGAGATGACACCTTTCGAATCAATCTTTCGAATAGTGTGACTGCCCTTATCACTGATGAAAACTTCACCACTTGTTGAGATTGCTATTCCTTCTGGGCTTGACAATCTAGCTGCAGTAGCTGGATATCCATCTCCAGAGCTATAAGCTTGTGAACCAGCAAAAGATGAAATAAGCTTATTAGAATCGGTTAGTTTCTTAATTCCAATAGTGGTACCAATGTAAATATCACTTGAGGATTCTGATTGAGTAACTGAAATGGGAGTATAAAGCGAAGTTAAATTTCCCAATTTTCCATCAGTGTCCAATTCGATAATTCCAGTTCCAGCCACACGGTCAACCAATGAATTTCCATAATTAGCAACTGAATTAAGTTTTAAAACAACTCCAACTGAACTATCCACTACCAACAATTCATCTCTTTTAGAATTATAAAATGTAGATACTGGATTCAAAAGTGAAATATTCGAAACATTTCCTGAAAGTACTTGATATCTTATTGAGCCATCTCCTGCAACTGTATTAATATTTCCAAGTACCAAGTCGATTTTTCTAATTCTATAGTCAGCAAAATCTGAAACATATAAACTATTTCCATAAATAGCTAATCCAGATGGATAGGTAAAACGAGCATTGAGAGCACTACCTCCATCTCCGCTGAATCCAACAACTCCTGCATTGTTGGCAATGACAGTTTTAACACCATTAGAAATTTTGATAACTTGACCTTTTGTCAAGCTGAGAGCAAATAAATTACCATTCGAATCAAAAACAATCGCTCCAGGAGAAACAATAGAGACGTAGGTCAATAATGTTCCATTACTTGCCACGTAACGAATCACATTATTATTTATATCTTAACAATATTAGAAATAGTTTCGAATAAAACTTACCAGAGAAGTACATCTCACCTTTTAAATATTAGAAATACTGTCAGTGTGTAGAATAAACTTACCTGTTACTGGATGAAAAGCAATTCCATATGCAGTTTTAATACTAGCAGTGACAGCTGGCGTGCCATCTGGACTATTTCCAAGTTGTCCATTTCCAACAACATTATAAAAGGTATCATTCACAATCTTTCTAATATTATTGTTATCACAAATGAAAATTTCATCTTTTGGCGAAACTGCAATACACACAGGATAGGATAATCTAGCCGAAAGTGCAGGAACGCCACTTGTCGTCAAAGATCCACCTCCTGCTATTGTAATCATATTGAACTCATTAATAGTTGAGTTGAAAAAAACCTTCTTCACTCTATTCATCAATCCACACTACCAGATAAGCTTCAATCACCCAAGCAAAAACTGGTGTACCGCCACTGGTTTCAGTCTGTGTTAACTTTTCCGCCACTTACTTCGGATACATCCCCACATCAGTCCGCCATAGGCAATAAGCAAGAATCGCTACACTAGTTTTTAATAGCTTACCTGGTAGTGGTAATGAAAACTTCACCTTTCGAATTGATTGCTACTCCATATGGATTAGTCAGAGAATCATTGGCGAAAGCCAAACTATCTGAACCAACACCTGCTTGGTAATTTGGTGCTCCAGCAAAATAATGTGAAATTCCACTATTCGAATCCAAGTATCTCACTTGATGATTACCCGATTCTGCATAATAAATATTACCGTTTTTCTTGTCAACTGCCAATCCATAAGGTCTATACATTCCAACATTGGTTGCCTTCATGCCATCTCCAATTTGTCCTCCCAATATAGTTTCAAGAGAATACTCAACTGGTCTACTTTTTTGTGCATGAACTAGAAATAAATGAGCGATTAGTTGGAGCGATAATACAAGTGCAAGTGCACGAAATAACATATTGGAAGTAGTGGTTGTTGACTTTCGTCTTGTAAACATTTTTTTTTCTTCGCTACTAGTAGGAAACGATAACAACTAAACTTGGTGTGTGTGAAATTGAGAGATATGTTCCAGTACAGAAAAAGTGTTGGGTTGGAATGGGAAACCATGTCCTGGAAAAGAAGTATCAACACTATGCGTTGAAACACGGTAAGATATTGCAAACTCAATGAAGAAGGGCTTTTTTATCTAACGTCAGCAAAAAGTCATAACTCAATTGTTAGTAATCTTACTAACATTTTTTTCGTAGCCGTAGTACTTGGTAGTATATATTACAATGCTTCATGAATGCCTTTTGCAATAATATTTCCATCAAGAAATTAGTTAAGGATATGTAGAGATAGTAATGGACTGTACACTTTTGTAATTAGAAAGGAAGATTCATCAACAATATTTTACCAACAGCCAGTAAGCACAATACAACGTGGCGAAGTCAAAGGACGTGATGAAAAAAACAAAAGAAAAAGAAGGCGGGAAAAAAATCCTTGCAACCTCACTTCTTACCATCATCACGCTACATCAAAGCTGGTAAAGTATCGGAGTGAATGAACAATATGCAGGCTTCTGTTTAGTTTCTTGCCAGCCATGTTCTTCATCCTTTGCTTCCTGTTGAAAGTGGTATTATCAACAAGTTGTCAAATTCACCTTTCAACCTTTGAATTTTGTTTTTTCCGTTCAGATTTCAATTAAAAAAATGTCTTCACTTGCTACCAGTGCACAACTGAATTCTCCTTTTGGTGTTTTTGTTTCATCAAATAATGAAGTTTATATTGCTGATTATGGTAATCAAAGAATTAGAAAAATATTAAAAAATGGAAATATTGTAACAATTGCTGGAAATGGAACTGCTGGATTCAGAGGTGATAATGGTCCTGCAACAAATGCACAACTGTATAATCCTTATAGCGTTTTTGTTTCATCAAATAATGAAGTTTATATTGCTGATTTTAGTAATCATAGAATTAGAAAAATATTAGAAAATGGAAAAATTGTAACAATTGCTGGAAATGGAACTGGTGGATTCAGTGGTGATAATGGTCCTGCAACAAATGCACAACTGAATAATCCTTATAGCGTTTTTGTTTCATCAAATAATGAAGTTTATATTGTTGATTATAATAATCATAGAATTAGAAAAATATTAAAAAATGGAAATATTGTAACAATTGCTGGAAATGGAACTGGTGGATTCAGTGGTGATAATGGTCCTGCAACAAATGCACAACTGAATAATCCTATGGGTGTTTTTGTTTCATCAAATAATGAAGTTTATATTGCTGATTATTATAATCATAGAATTAGAAAAATATTAGAAAATGGAAATATTGTAACAATTGCTGGAAATGGAACTGCTGGATTCAGTGGTGATTCACCTTTTGATATTAGAACGTATCCTCATATTGGAAATAAGTTATTAACTGGAAATGGTAACTTACATTCTAAAATAGAATTTCATAATTTGAAAAAACATTCAAGAGATGAATTATTTGGATTGCCAATTTATGGATTCATTCCCCTCATTGAAAAAACTTCACCAAAATTTAGTAACATTTTGAAGAATGAAAAGATACTTTGTTTGATGAGTTCATCACAACAAGAAATTATTCAAAAATTAATTGACTCTTTGATATACGATAAGAATAAGGTAAAGTTTAACAAAGAAGAAATGTTGGATGTTTTATTCATTTTGGGTTTATTTAAGAATGGTGAATTTATTGATTTGAAAAGATCATTAACAAGTGAATTTGTGAACTCACTCACATTAGAAAATCTTACTTTCAAATGGGAAACAATTGAAAATTTACTCAAAATTTGCAAGGAGGAATTCAATGTTCAAAATTACATTCTTGATCATTTGAATAACTATG